CTGTAGTTCCAGCTACTTGGAAGGCTGAGGCGGAAGGATCACCAGAGCCCAGCAGGTCAAGGCTGCAGTGGTCGGGAGCAGCCACTGCACTTCAGTCTGGGCGACAGAGTGAGACTCCAACTCAAAAAAAAAAAAAAAGACTGTGTCTTATTTTTACACAACGCACCTCCACCCAAATGTGCCCAGCATAGGGCCTGGTTCTGTAAACACAGCTTGAATAGTGATTTTTTATTTTACTTGGGTCACTCAGATGATGTGGTTTCCAAAATGGTTCCATTCTCACCTCTGAATCTAGGTTGCCTCTTCAGAGTTCTTTTTGTAGAGGACAATTAGCAAAACCTTCTATCTGTCTAGAGCTCAGCCATCCTGTTGCAATTTTTTTTCTTTATTTCCCCCTCCTGAGTACAATCTAATTTGGGGACCTTTTCAGATGCTGCTCCAGACTTGAATTGCTGTCCAGTGGTTCCCCAGAGTGAAAATGCCCCAGCTAATGAAGGACTCATGGGAGCAGGAGAGAAGGGAGGGCCCGGTGGATCTCAGCCTACTCTGCTCTCATTCCCGCAGGTCTCTCTTCCCATTTCGATACTTCTTCAGGAAGAACAGCCTCTAGTGAACCTTCCAAATGCAGCGCTGGAAGAAGGACTGGCTCTTGCAGTGACTGCTTCTGTGCCACCCTTCCTCCACCTCTATCCTTTTCTTGTGATGCTTCCGTTCTGGGGAATTAGTGGCCCAAACTGAGTCCTCTGTGGGTTTACCCTGTCCTTTGACCCTTTACAAGTGAATTTCGTTTCCAACTTAAAACATTAAGAATAGAATTTTCTAAAATGTTCTGGCCCTGAGGGCCAGTACTTAGGATCCTAATGACAATAAAGTATTTATTTATGAAGAGTTATTGATTGAATTTAGTGACGTAGGGAAAGAGAGAACAAACTCTTCCTTCCAGACAACAGAGAAACAATGCCTGAAACTTCCCCTGAGTCTAGCTGGTTACTGTGTGCAGGATTGCTTTGGGTGAGCGAGTCTGGACCTCACCTCAAGTCTTAAACTTTGCTGCCGGGGTTGGGGATGGGGCCTTGCAAGACTCTCTCCTGAATCCTGCTCTCCCAGAAGATCTCTTCCTCAGGCCGCCCAGTTTGGCACCATCTATCCCTCTGGCTCTTTGACAGGTTAGGTTATCACATTAACTGGAAGGCAGTCCAGGTTGGCGCCTAGAGAAGGCCTTGGCACCTGAGCTCTGTGTTCAACTAAACAGCCGATCTGGAACAGTTTAGCCTTGTGTGGCTGCAGAGGACCGAAATAATCCATGGAAATGTAGGGAAACTCATTTTACCTCAAACAGAAGACTCACTTTTTAGCTATTAGAGATGTCTGTGTTAGAATGGTCTACACCCTGTAAGGTAATGAGCCCTGTCACCTGAGTGTTTTAAACAGTTGATTATCTGTCACACACCAGAGGGTTCCCCAGAAGAGGTAGACTACAGCGGAGGGGCCCAGCAAGTGCGGACCCAGGGCCTAAGAGGAAGGAGGGCGGAGCTGAAGGGGAACTGTGGTGTGGGGACTTGAGGATAAGTGATGTCGGTAACACCCAGTCCTTTGTGATCGAGTTTGCAGCCTTCACTCCACTGTCCCAAATATGGCATGCCTTACCAGCTGCCGAGAGGCGCACCTCCAGGTCCGGAGATCCGAATGCCCACCTGACTGATCATCGTACAGTGAAGCCTCGGGAAAGTCGCCCTCCTTCCCTGCCATTCTTTCATCTGGAAGAGGAGTGAGTAGGAGTCCCTGAGCTGTCAAGTGCCATCTGGCTCTGGCAGTCTGACTGGCCCTGCTGCCAGCCTGAGCAGGCCATGAGGCGATGGTCCCGACGGGAGCTGGCCCGAATCACCACTGGCTGCCTTCTGATCTACCCCGCCCCAACCCTTCCAGTCACTGCTGACTAGGGGTATTTTTCTAACTTGCCATATTCTTGCTTCAAGTGAAATTTAGCACCGTGGGTGGAAGCAGGAAGCAGGAGGTTCTAAGTCAGCCCCGACATTCACTAGCTCGGTGACTTCCCGTAAGTGACTTTCCTTCTGAGCCTCAGGTGGCCCACCTGTAAAACCAGCACTGGACTAAATGATCAGGCTCTTTCAGAAGTCAGGTCCCTGTTGTTCCAGGGACTAGGGGCACATTCCAGCTCAGAGCCTCACTCTATAGCTGACCCACAGGATGAGAACCATCCGCCTGACACTGGACATGAAGCTCTGAAACAGACTTAGCAACCCCCAGCCTCCAGCTCTGCCGCCAAGTGCATCTCAGGAGACCCTACTGGTGGGATTTCCCTTGTCTTTAAGAATTTCACACCTGTAATCCCAGAACTTTGGGAGGCTGAGGGGGAAGGATGGCTTTAGCACAGGAGTTCAAGACCAACCTGGGCAACAGAGCGAGACTTTGTTTCTGATAAAAAAATAAAAATATAAACATTAAAAAAAATCTCTTTCCCCAATGTCTTTCCTATACAGTCAGTAACAAGGACAGGAAGAGCTGGATTTAGTGGATATAAGGTTTGGGGTGTGGACACCCTGAACAGAGAAGTGTCCTGCCCAAGGTCATGTAGCAAAGAAGAGAAGCCAAGTGACCACAGCTCAGCCAAGAGTCTTGACCCCTCTGTCCCCAACTGCACACATGCTCCACACTCCACCAGCTCCTGGGCTTTTCTCCGCATCCCATTTCCCCAACCCTGGACTGCAGGCAGGTTTTTGGACAGAAGGAAGAAGAAAGCCACAGAAGCTGCTCTCTGAGGACCACACCTCAGAGAGCGGGATCTCCCAGGTGGGACTGCTCTGTGGGTTCAGGCTGGGAGGCCAGCCCGAAAGCCGATCTCCAGGAGGGCGTGGCTCCAAGTGCTGGCAAATAAAAGCCTGGAGAGCCAGCACCACTCCGGAGACCGGCTGAAGGCAAGGGGAGACTGCAAGCCACTCTGTTCCCAGGTCTCGGAAGTGGTGAGGAGGCAGGAGCGGCTCTGGGGAGGGCCTGGGAACGTGGATGAGGGCCCTGCAGGCCGAGATGGGGCAGGTGGAGGAAGATGTTTGTGCTCCAGATGGTGAGGGAAATTCCAGAGAGGGAAGAGTCACCGCACAGAGGGCTGACATGCAAGTCCCATCTAGACACAGCTGCCTGCACTCACACCCATCCAGAGTGACACAGGCAGGTTCCCGCACACGCACGCACACACACGCAGATAGGAGGAAAAAGCCCCCCTCAGGCTCGCCTCACCTGTCAGAAAGACCAGCCAGCCCTGGCTCACTCACCTGGAGGAATGCAGTATTTAAAGAATTTCCCCTCTCACCTATGCACCCACATAGTCAGCCATCCACTGTTTCAGATGCCCATGGCGTCCCCCAAGACCCTATTCCTCTGCCTGCTGGTCCTGGCAGTCACTGAAGGCCGGGTTCAGGAGGCAGCCACCCCAGGCTGCCACTTGCACCGTGAGTAACTCTGGGATCAGGAGGCAGGGAGGAGTGGAAGTTCTGGGTGGGTGCAAGGAGCCGGTGGCGGGTGGGTGGCAGCCTACATGGAACCCTCTGTCCTTTGCACAGACTAGAGGGGCTGGACGGGCCTTCACAGAGGCACTGACTATTGCTTGTCTGTCTCTTTCTAGCTTTCAATGTGACCGTGCGAAGTGACCGCCAAGGCACCTGCCAGGGCTCTCACATGGCACAGGCCTGCGTGGGCCACTGCGAGTCCAGCGCCTTCCCTTCCCGGTACTCTGTGCTGGTGGCCAGTGGCTATCGACACAACATCACCTCAGTCTCTCAGTGCTGCACCATCAGCGGCTTGAAGAAGGTAAGGAGGACCCGAGTCCGGTGGGGGGACAATGGAGGTGGGGAGAGGACATAAGAGAGGGGGATCTGAGACGGCCCTGCAACAGGGGACAGGAATGTGGCCTCCCCTCTCCCATAGGTGAAGGTGCAGCTGCAGTGCGTGGGGGACCGGAGGGAGGAGCTTGAGATCTTCACGGCCAGGGCCTGCCAGTGCGACATGTGTCGCCTCTCTCGCTTCTAGGCCATCCTCTGCCCGCCTTCCTCCCCCCACCCCCAATCCCAGGGCTTAATGTTCTGTTGGGAAAAAGCTGGGTTTGGGATTCAAAACCCAAAGGGGTTCCAATTCTGCCAGCTACTCCCTAGGGGATTTTCTTTTTTCTTTTTTTTTTTGAGTTGGAGTCTCATTCTGTCGCCCAGGCTGGAGTGCAGTGACACGCTCACAGCCACCGCAGCCTGGACCTGCTGGGCTCAGGTGATCCTTCTGCCTCAGCCTTCCAAGTAGCTGGAATTATAGGCATGCGCCACCACACCCAGCTAATTTTTTGATTTATTGTAGAGATGAGGTCTTGCCAAATTGCAGGCTGGTCTCAAACCTGTGGGCTCAGGCAATCCTCTTGCCTTGGCCTCCCAAAGTGCTGGGATTCTAGGCGTGAGCCACCGCGCCCGGCGATAGGGGATTTTCCTAAAGGAAAGGGTTGTTCCAGCAATGACCCTCTTACCATTTTGTGACTGTCGCCTCTTGAAAAGAGGGGAGCTCCTGCCCCTGCTCTGCCTCTGCCTGGCCCATCTAACCAACCTTTCATTCCCCTGCCCTCTTTGTACCCTATCCCTAAATAAAGCAAGCAGCTCTTGAGTTTCTCTCTTTATTAAGTCTACCCCCCAGCCAGGGGAAGAGGGATAGACCATGATTACTGTGACCCCCCCCCTTACCCCAGGACACTGTGAATCTTCTTGCCTGTGCCCTCACCCCTCCCCCTGCCCAATAAATAAAAAGGGGATGAGAAAGTACAGGGCGAGGGGCTGGGGGGGGGGAGACGGAGAATGCCCCAGGCCCAGGACAGTGTCTGTGTTGGGGGTGAGCTGGGCGAGAATAAATAGACCGTGGACCCCATGGTGGGATGAGAAGAACCTCGTGCTGGCCCTAGGCAGGGGCAGGCCAAGCGCTGAGTGCCCTTGCCCAAGGCCAGGAGCAGAGGGTGGGGCCTGCCTGCAGCCTGGAGCCCAGCTTTGTGGGGCGGGGGAAGATCCCTGATGGCAGCTTCCTGGTCAAGCCTGCCCTTGTCGAGTCCTGCCACGAGGGGCTGAGAGTTCCGTTGCCAAGACCACCATCTCCTCTCCTCTCGGCTCCCCCCAGTGAAAGCTGGGCCAGGCAGGAAGTCCTCAGAACCTGCTCTGGCGAGGCCAGGGGGAGGTGAGTGTCTCGCTGGGCCCCTGGGCAGGAGAAGGGGTGGAGGGGCCGACAGCTCTGGGTTTAGCTCCTCCCCTTCCAGGACCTCCTAGCTCTGACCCCCATTGGTGGCCACCTGGGGGGGAAGCCGCTGGAGGGGGGCCTCCTTGGCCCCCTGGGTCCCCTGTAGCCGGCGTAGCCGCAGGTCTTCCAAGCCTTGCCATAGCTCCTGGCGCTCCTGGGCCTTCTGCTGCTCCCTGGGGAGAGAGAGAGGGGCAGTTCCCCTCCCCAGTCTCCCCCACACCCAGCCTCCCTCACTGCCACCCCCCTGCAAATGGACAGACAGCATGGAAGCATTTTCTGTTCTGTGACTCCCTAGAAACCTTCTGCATGGGGAAGAGCTGAGGGGAGACTGATCCCAGCCTGTGTTCCCAGAGAAGGTGAACGGGCCTGGCTCTGAGTGACCCTGGTTGCAGGGTAGGGAGCTATCGGGAGTCAGAACAGGTCAGTGCCTGGATAAACCACTTGGGGAATGACGGGAGCACAGGCATAGGATGGGCCAGCACTTGTGGGGGGCAGGGGAGAGGCTTTCAGCATCTGATCAGTGGGGCGTGGTAGCTCACACCTGTCATCCTAGCACTTTGGGAAGCAGAGGAGAGAGGATTGCCTGAGCCCACCGGTTCAAGACCAGCCTGGGTAACTTGGTGAGACCTCATCTCTACAAAAATAAAAAAATTAGCCAGGCATGGGGGCGCACACCTGTAGTCCCAGCTACTTGGGAGGCTGAGGCAGAAGGATCACCTGAGCCCAGCAGTAACTGTTAACTTGCTATTGCACTCCAGCCTGGGTGGCTAAGTGAGACACTGATTCCAAAACAAAACAAAACCATCTGATCAGACAGGGTCTGGGGTGGTCCTCTGGGGCCCCCTCCAGCCATGAGGGTCTGATTCCTCCCTGTTCTTCTCCCTCTCGCCACGCCCAGCCACTGACACTCACTGCTGTTTTTCCAGCTTGTAGGAGGCTGTGAGCTCATCAAACAGCTTTCCATTCATCTCCATGAAGGTCTTGAGCACGTTGTAGATCAGAGACACGATGGTTCTTGGCAGGGTCGAGGGAGGGGTTGGGGAGATGAGAGCAGCCTCAACTCAGCCCCACCTTGCTCCCTGGCGGCCTGCCCATCCCTGTGGCTCAAACACAGCAGGCAGGCCTGACCAGCACAAGCCCTGCCCACTTCCCCGTCCTCCTCACCCCCCTCGGCCATCCTCTGGTGCCTGCTCTGGTCCTCTGCAGCTCTGAGTGACCCCAGGGTCTGGACTGGCTGGCCCTGGTCCCCGTTTCTGGGAGGTCAAGGCCTGGGCACTCACTGATTCCAGTGCTCCTTGGAGACTTGGTAGAGGGTCCCGAACACAGCAGGCAACACAGTGTGGCAGTTGTCCTCAATGAGGCTCAGGATATACTCGTTATTCCAGAAATACAGAGCCCGCTCTGCAACCTGGTCCAGACAAGACAGCAGAGTGAGCGCTGGCAGCGGCTTCTCTGTGTATGCAAGGCCCAGTGTGCACCAAGCTCAGGCCCACCCTCAGGGCTCCTCTGACCCCCGGGGAGGAGCAAGGTGGTGAAGAGAAAGCAGCACTGGATTAGGAGTCCCATGTGAAGGGCAAATCCTAACTCTACTACAAACCGTACAACCCTTGGGCAAGGCATTTAACCTCTCAGCCTGGGCTTTCTCATCTGTGAAATGGGGCTCACAGCACCAACCTCCACAGGACTGTTGTAAGAACCAAATGAGATACTGGACTTTAAGGTGTTTAATAAGGCCAGGCGCAGTGGCTCATGCCTGTAATCCCAACGCTTTGGGATTACAACACTGTGCGGAAGGATTGACTCCCACTAAGTCATGGCTCACAAGAATGGGAGAAAGCCTGTACACATGTGCAGGAGATCATGAGTTACTGGCTGGGATGATGTGGAAAAGGCTGGCTGGGACCTAGGGTGGGTCTAATGAGATCCAAGGCCACCAAGAAAAGGGGACAGTGACGATAACCCTCCAGCCCATTCTGGAGCACACTTTGGTCTACCAAACACGTCACACTCACGATCTCTTCAGGCCTCATCACCACCCTAGGAAGAGATTGTCACTGGCCCATTTTACAGATGAGGAAGCTTAATCAGAATCAGAGTGGTGATGTGACTTGCCCAAGGCCCCTCAGCCCGTGGAAGGTGGGCCTGAGGTTTGACCCTGGGTCTCCTGACCCTAAGACCAATGTCTCCCCCTTCCTTATCTGGCCCAGGACCAGAGAAGAAACTGAGGGCGGAGGGAGCTGTGGTGTCAGGTCCACTCCCCAACCTTTCCAGGCCACCACATCCCTGCTCCCAGCCCCACCCATCCCACTCCTACCTGGAAGTGGGGGCTGGAAACACAACGGGCCACCTGCTTGAAGAGGGGCTCCTGGATCTTCACGAACTGGGAGGGCTCGATGACATCGAGAATCTCTTCCATCTCCCCCAGAAACATCACCTGGGGTGGCGGGGAGGAGGAGGGACAGGGGTGGCAGGTCGCGTCTGCTGCAACACGCACACCCCTGGCTGCCTTCTGCAGCCGAGCCCTCCCGACCTCCCTCTGGTGGGCTTCAAAGCCCTTCTTCTACCTCCTTCTGGGTGCAGGTTTTCGGCCAGTACTTGAGCAGCCCTCGGATCACCTGAGAGGGTTGAGGCAGGAAGGAGTCAGACCCGCAGAGGTGACGGGCCCACCCCCCCCAGAGGTACCCACGTGCTCTGTCAAGGTGGCATCCTTCTCCAGGAACTGCACCACACAGTATGCCAGCTGCAAGGGGTGAGGAGTGGAGAGAACGGAGACAGGGGTCAGCAGGGGACTGGCAGCCCAGGACAGGATGCCGGACATTTGCTCACTTACTGCCTCTCACTCTCTCTCTTTTTTTTTGAGTCTGAGTCTCAGTCTGTCACTCAGACTGGAGTGCAGTGGCACAATCATGGCTTACTGCAGCCTCAAACTCCTGGGCTCAAGCTATCCTCCCACCTCAGCCTCCCAAGTAACGAGGACTACAGGTACACACCACCACACCCAGATAATTTTCTTTTAAATTTTTGTAGAGATAAGATCTTGCTATGTTGCCCACTTTTTACTCTCTTATCCGCCAAGCACTGACTGCCTGCCTAGAATATACCAGGCATAATGCTCAGTGTACTGGAATACAGCACAGTACATGGGGGAAACCGCAAATGAATCCTTATAAATTTGCAGAAGGTTCCACAAAAGAATTCTGTGTCAAAATCTTTGGAAACATAGAAAGAGAAGAGTTTAATTCTGCCCTAGAGCAGGTGGAGAGGGAAGGCCTCACGGAGCTGCTGTCTGAAGTCAGCCATAATCAGCCAGTAGGAACCCTCTAAGCCAGATGGAACAGAGCCATAAAGACAAAAGAAGGCGAGACAGGATCTCACAAGTGTCAGGCTGAGTGTCAGGCTGACCTCCAGGCCCTGCTAGCTGCCCTGGCTGTCAGGGCGTCCCAAGGCAGCTGGGCCGGACCTGGGTCTCACCTGGGCGTGAAAGACAGACAGCGACTTGACAGAGTGCAAGGGAATCAGGACACGGACCAGGAACTGCTTGTGCTCGGTCTTCAGCGGCAGCGCAAAGCCATTGATGATGCTGAGGATGGGGCGGAAGAAAGGAGTGCTCAGACCACCGGGCCCCAGCCCCTCCTTTCCAGAATCCCCAGCTCCAGCTGAGGCCCAGGGAGAATCACCTTCCTAAGATCTCCAACAGCTCCGCCACGCCATTGAAGTGCTCGAATTCATAGATGAACCTACGAGAGGGAGAAAAACGCAGGAAGGCTCAGAGCAATCGAGGTCGGCCCAGCCCTGTACAGGCATCCCGCCTGTGCGCCCACCCTCACCTGCCCCGCACACTCATCCAGCTCTCTCCCAACCAAGAAGCTATGCTCCCTTCTCAGCAGCCCACACCAGGCCCCACTGGGAGCCACACCTCACTCTCAAACGCCCTTCTCAGCCCAGCCACCTCAGCCACTGAATCCCAGCTTGACTCTCTCCTCTGTGGAACGTTCCAGCTCATCTCTTCCAAGACGCTATCCTCATTTCCTGATACCCATCCAGTCAGCAGGCACCTAGCCGACATCCTTCTTCACGCCAGTCCACCCAGAGAATGACAAACACTCAGCATCTATTCTGCACCATGTAATTTTCAAAATTATCTGGGAAGCAGGGTTTCTTAAATCCATCATGCCTGAGCCCGCAGGTTCGAGACCCGCCTGGGCAGCGAGACTTCATCTCTACAATAAATAAAAAAATCAGCCGGGCATGGTAGCGCATGCCTGTAATTTCAGCTACTCAGAAGGCTGAGGCGGAAGGATCGCCGGAGCCCAGTGGATCGAGGCTGCGGTGGCCGGGAGCGGCCACTGCACTCCAGTCTGGGCGACAGAGTGAGACTCCAACTCAAAAAGAAAAAAAAAAAAATC